GTCTTAAATATAAGACATATTTTTTATTTATCAATTTTTTCTAAATTATCCTTATGTATACTCCCTCAACCATAATCAAGTAGAAGAGAAAGAGGGATATTAAGAAAAATGATTATAATGTTTTAGAAAAAATATGTCATATTTCTTATAATTAACTAACTTACTTAACTTTTTTAATCTAGTCAAATTAGTTAAATAGGTCTTACATTAAGGATAAGAGGAGGATATCTTTTCCTTTTTCTAAAAAATTAGTTAAGTTTTCATGCTATCATAAGATATTGAGGGAAAAAAGAGGGAAAACATGAGAGAAAAGAAAATCATATGTATATGTTATACTGGTATAGTCCTCTTCTCAGTTATTATTTCACAATAATCTGACTCTTGATTACATTTTAACTAATCAAATTAAATTTATTTTATGATGCACATAATTAACCATCTTAATTTAATTTATTTCTAACTAAATCAATTTAGTTTAATTTGTTTTGAATTCAAATAATCAATCAGCAATCAATTAATTTTATCACATCAATATATATAATCCATAGAAAGTAGCATAGCATTATTTATGAGCTAGAAACAACAAAATGCAATCATTCCTTCATTTTATCCAATATGCAAAGCCTCACATCCAGTTGAATTAATTATGACTTGATGGTAAAAAAATTATGACTCTTCTATAATTAGGAATGAGTGCAAATTATTACTCTCAAACATCTCACTTGAAACTTCTCTAATTATGTGAATCTCTTTACCATGTGAATTGAATCATCTCAGACATGTGAAAATGATTGAGGAGGTAAAATTGTGCTATAAGCATCACTATACCAATGGATATTGTACATATATAAAATTATAAATAAACTCGTTAATTATTTAGATCATTAAAAATATTTGAAAATGTTGCTTAGATCAGCTGGCGGCTAATAAAAAAAGAAAAACTATACTTATTGAAAATAAATACATTTCAAGTACTATCTCCAATCTTAATTATAAGAGTTAGTTAACTAATTTGAGGAGATTAAAGAAAGAAGTTAAGTTAGTTATTTATAACAAATAGGTGTTATCTTTCCTAAAATATCCTTACTAATCAAATGTATTGGCTAGAATTACCATTATTAGAAGGATTACTTTGGAAAAAATGCATAAATATGAGAGACAAAGTAGATTGGGATCTTATATTTAGGGTGAAAATAAAAATCAAACAACATTTTATATTAAGGACCGGAGGTAGTACTTAGTTTAGTGAGAAAAGTTCAATTTTTAAGCTAAGGAGTTTAGGCCTCCAACATTTGTTGGTATTTATTTTATATATATATATATTATAATTTATTCTTAAAAATATGAAATAAGATTCAATTTGAATGTGTTTTATTAGGAACAAATTTTTTTTTTGACCTCATTAACTCTATCTAAAAATTAAATAACATACGGACATTTAACTAGAGGTGAAAGGAGAAATTAGTGATAAAAAATAGTACGTGCCTTATAATTATGATGAATTTATAAATAGCATGAAAGTAATTATAATTAATGTGTAGCAAAATTGATTATGGCATTAGTTTAGGATTAAAAGTCACTGCCAATTATCGTCAAACTTCTGAGATGAAACTTCCGGAATTGTGTGAACCTTGACCATGTGAAACGAATCATTTTAGATTTACGAAAATGATTGAGCAGATGAGAATGCCGAATGAGAAGATATTCTCTCAAAAAAAAAAAAACTCAAATCTGGGTTTATACGTGTCCATCTTTTATCCTTCCCCAATTATTTTATGTTCACTCCCAATTCTTTTTCTTTCATTAATGGACAATTTTATTACAGTCTTGGACCTTCACGTCAATACCAGAACAAAGCATCGACCAGGAAAAACTCGAGCCATAATAAGTTCAAAACTCTTAACTAAAAAAGTTATGACATTTAACATTTTGATATTATTTTTCAGAGTAACGTTCGGCGCTTTAATCTTATTTATAATGCATGTAAATTTTAATATTATTTTCGTGGCGCATCCAATATATTTTGATGTTATTTTTCACTTACGTCTAGTATCGTAATCTTATTTATAGTTTCAAGTCCTAAATGTTCTATAAATAAGACCAGGACGATAAAAGTACCATAACAATAACATCAAAATAATAGATAAAAGTATCACATTCCAATCCTAATTTTTTCCCTTTCAAATATACTAGATATGCCACTTTTTTTGGCACAAAAGAAATTAATTTTATTAATATGAAAAATTATTATATCCACTAATAGGAAAAAGTAAATAAAAAAAGAATAAGAGTCCAACCTATAAAAAAACTTAAACCAACAAATAAGTACATATTTAGAAAAATATATATTTTTATTTATTTATTGCTGTTAACTAATTATAATTATAATAGTTTTTTTTTCAAACCACACAATTCAGTTATTTGAATCTCACAATAAACGACTATGGCGGTTAAGATGTAGTTTTTTTTGAGTAAGCAATAAGAAAATGGATGAATAGATTATCTGAATACTGTATATCAATGACAAAATAAAAATATTTGACGTTTTCAAACATTACCGTGCATGATTGAACAATTGAAAGTTATTGCATGCATATTAAAAAATAAGAAATATCATTGACAATTATTGCTTGGATATTAATTAAGAAAGAAATATCATTGACATGTGTACTTATGACCCCCTATATTTTATAACATTCTGAAGAGATTTTTGTGTGAATTTGGGAGTCATCGTCATGATTTGGAGCTGTTTTGGCGAATTTTCTTTTCTTAGAAGAATTCAACTCATATGTTTTATGTAAATTATGATCTAATGTTGTGAAAATTTAAAATCCAAAGCATTTTTATCTAATGCATATGGCATATCCAAAAACAAAAATAATTAAATATAATAGCCAAGATCCCAATTTTGTTTTTCCAATTTCGCTAATCTTTAATACCAATTGTTAATTAATGTATATGTTTTTTAAAAAAATGTCTTATATTTGAAACAATGAAAATATGGTAATACAAAATTTATAGGAAAAAGTCATGCTATTAATTAAAAAATTATAAACAATGTGACGCACTTCAGCCTCAATACAAAGTAAAGTCCCATAAAGGTTATTAAAATGATCTTTTAGCTAGATAAAATATAAATTGAATAATTGTGTAGTGGTATTAAATGAATTGTATTTTAAATAAATCAATTATGATCAACATTAATATTTACACTTTATTGGAAACAATATTTTAACTAGGTTATTGCGGCTGGTCAAAAAAAAAAAACTAGGTTATTGCGATTCATTCTCCAAGGCTGATTGGGATGAATAAAATAGGTGTCTAGTCAAGATATATAATAAATATCAATGTATATGTAAATACTACTACAATATAACAACCCAAGTGTTGGCAAAAAAGGAAAAAACCTAAGTTATCGACGAGTCATTAATTATATGGCTACTTTTTTTTTTTTTTAACCAAAATTGTATGGCTACTTTGAGAAAGGGTTACAATGCACATGAAATATATATAGTTTGAGAAGAATTCATGTTATCTCTTTTTCTCACAAAATTTTTATGTACTAAAATATAAAATTTGAATATTCTTAATATAACTTATAAAATTTAGTATGGTTTATTATCATTTTAAAAATATCTTTTATATAAAAGTAATTATATAATTCATAAATTAATTAGCACCGTTTATGGTATATAAATAGTATATTTGAAAAAACTTTTAAACAATATATAAATATGTGTATTTATGGAATACTTAAAGTTAATCCAACCATTGCGATATTTAAGAAAGAAAAATAGGGAATGATTTTCAACGAAAATTGTTGAACTTTTGCGAAATTCATTGTACAAACTACAAAGGTACTTAAATTTGTTCAAGGACTAAAATATAGCTAATGCCTTGTATTCCGTAGATGCCACTCTTTTAACTGTATGCAATTTATGTTTAGTTATGTGTAAAATAAAAACATTTACATATAATTAAAAATATATTACATAAATTCGAAAGAGAATGTTACTTTTTTTTTTTTGGAGCAAAGAAAAAGAATGTTACTTGCTAAATATGATTTGCGTTCGTTCAGCAACTTGGATACTCACTTAAGTATTTTTGGACAATAAAATTGTTTTAACAAATTTTCTTTATTTTTTTAATAAAATTAGATAATTATTTTTTTTAAAAATCTTAAAAAATAGCTTTTGAATTTCAAAATTTCAAATCAGTCTTGTTTATTACACTTCAATAACAATTAATTATATTTATCAACAAATTGAGATGGTAAGTAGTTTTACTTTTTTAAGAAGGAGAATACAAGTTTAAATTCTGAAAGTTCAATTTTAAAATTCAAGGATTTTTTTTTGAATTTTTTTATTTTTTAATGAGATTAGATATTTTTTAGAAAATGTCAAAAAATAGCTTTTGAATTTTAAAATTTCAAATCAGTTTTGTTTATTATACTTTAATAACAATTAATTATATTTATCAACAAGCCTTTGGTTGGGATGATAAGTGGTTTGACCACTTTAAGGAGAAGAATACAACTTTAAATCCTTAAAAGCGCACTTGTTGGGAAGGTTTCTACCTTAACGTCTCAGCTTGATAGAAATTAGTTTTAAACTCAAAATGATTTGAAAATCCTCTAAGTTATATTAAAAAAATATTTAACTATACTTAAAAAGCAAATTACCATATATTTTTGTAGTAATTTTTGGTTTAAGATTTTAAAATTCAAAAGATTTTTTTTAAAAATTTTTTTAATTTTTTTATTTAGATGAATAAGACAATGGTTTCAGTCAGTCAAGGCATGTCAAAATTGGGCTCCTGAGAAAAATGTAAAAGCGAGCAGGAAACGTCAGGGAAGGTCATCTGTTCTCACTTCTCAATTTGGAAATAATAAAACAGCAAAAAATAAAAAGAAAAAGAAAAAAAAATACAGAGAAAAGAGCTATAAAAACCGACTCGCGCTATTTTTGCTCCCCTCCAACTAATCGCGTTTGCTCTCTTCCTCCACTCGTATTCAATCTCTCTCTTTCTTGTTTCCGCACATAGATACATGGACTCACCCTCTCGCTCCTCCGTCATCATCGTCGGAGCTGGTATCTCCGGTGAGAGCTTCGCTGCCGATCAATCCTTCCACCTCTGACCACGCGGTTATTGTGAATTCATTTTGTTCTGATTTTAGTTTCTCTGTACGAAAGGTATCTCTGCGGCAAAAGTTTTAGCCGAGAACGGAATAGAAGACCTGGTGATTCTGGAGGCCTCCGACCGTATCGGCGGTAGGATCCGGAAGGAAAATTTCGGAGGCGTGTCGGTGGAGCTCGGAGCTGGGTGGATCGCCGGAGTTGGTGGCAAAGAGTCTAATCCTGTTTGGGAACTCGCTGCCAAATCTGGCCTCCGAACCTGCTTCTCTGATTACAGCAATGCGCGCTACAATATTTATGATCGCAGGTCTGCAAAACGGCCTACCCTTGCTATTTCCGCCATTCCTATTTGCTCATTACTTTGCCGGAACAATTTAGTGCCGTTTTTCGTCTTTTATGCGCCGTGGTGGCGAGTCGCTTATTCCGATAATTTCCGATACAGTGGCGCATTTGAGTGTTATAGTCGTTTTCGTTCTTTTTTGCCTTTTACTGCTCTGGATTGTGGTTTTGGTGTACAATTTCAAATCACTCTGTCAGTGAATCTAACTGAATTTGCGCACCGACTTGCAGCGGGAAAATCTTTCCGAGTGGAATCGCTGCCGACTCCTACAAAAAGGCGGTGGACTCGGCGATTCAGAAGCTGAAGAACCAGGATGCCGATCACGGTGGTGATGTCAGCAAAATAACAGAGTCTCCTTCGTAAGTTAACGTGGTTGGTTGTTAATGTATGATTGGTTAGCTAAATATTCCTAGTCTGAGTCTCGCTTTCTAATGTATCATTTCAGGTCGCCAAAGACCCCCATAGAGCTGGCCATTGATTTTATCCTACATGATTTCGAAATGGCAGGTCAGTTCGCAACTTACTTCAACATTGAGTTTTTGTTTTTACTGTTGGTTTCTCTTCCATATGACAGAAATAAGAAAGCAAAAGAAATTGAGATGTGTGGGGCTGTGACTTTGTCAAATTATTCAATCCTCAAATCTTTTCCAGCTCAGCAGATGCTTTTTAATTTTTAACGAATTTGTTTTATACATTTATATTTTTGCACTATAAAATAAGTCCTCGGTAACCCTTCTGTTTCGTTTGCCGTTTCTTTTTTCCCTTCTTTTTACTAAAATAAGGTGAATAATAGACTGGGAATTTGGGTGCAGAAGTGGAACCAATATCTACATACGTAGATTTCGGGGAGAGAGAATTTTTAGTTGCGGATGAACGAGGGTATGAGCATCTGCTCTACAGAATGGCTGAAGATTTTCTCTTCACTTCAGACGGTGTAATCTTGGACGATCGCCTCAAGCTTAACAAGGTACTTGACTAAGTCCTTTCGCTAATTTAATTATGGTGAAAATTTGGATAAATATATACAATTATTTTAAAATAATTTATTCTCTTCTCGTATTTTTAATATTTTTGTCTGCATTTTTTAATTTTTTGTTTTATAATAAATACCATAACATTATATTATAAAAAAAGTCAATTGTTTTATAAAACATTAAATTTTTGGAATGTATAAAATTGAAATTTTTTAAAATCCAGTATAATTGAGCTAAATTTAGGAAATGGTGAAATTCAGTTAATTTACTCTTTTTTAATTTTTGATCAAGATAAAATTTGGAATGCAATGCTAACCTCCTAGTCTTATCCGTCCGTTAGTACGTTATTTCTCCATTTTCTCCAGCATGTTGGGGAGGAAAGAAATTGCGGGCCCCGCCCTCCATATTTCTCCTCTAAATACTGCTATTCTCTTTTTCCCCTGATGAACCTACTTATATTTGATTTCTCTCGTCAGATTCTTCAATCCAAAGTTTCAAACAACACTATATTAAGAAATTTTATTATACTAAAGTACCTTCAATTTTATTTGTTTGTGAATCTGGTTTATGAATAATATGAGATATTCACAGAGAAAAGTTCTTTGTCTGTTTGCCATACGTCATTTGTTGAGAGCGGAATAAATAAGCGGTTGAAAAGAAAAATTTAAAATTTTGTCTTTGTTAGAATGCCCCCGGCTTTCATTATTTTTTTCTCGGGTTACTGAAGCTTGATTGGCCCACTTTTGGGGTTTGCGGATAATGACTTTTCAAAAGATGTTATTATGTTTGAGAGATATCTGTCACTCTCACACTTTTTTTTAAACCTTTTGAGTGTTTTTTTTTTTTCCGGAGATAAGTTACGGTATATTTCCGTAACAAATAATTTTACTTTAGATTTCTACCATGCAGAATTATTCTATTCGATTAATAATTAACTAATGTGTGAGCGAAGCGAAGATAAGCTTTTTGGACAAGGACATAAATTTTTTTTATAAAATTATAAAAAAGTATGCTGATTTAAAATGATTCTAGGAATGCAGTGAATCAGAGGGAGAGGTAAATCGATTCACTAACAAATAAATATGTCACTAAAATATACTAATATATTTACTGATTTTAATTTATTTAAAATGAATATGTATCGTAAATTTTCTATATTTTGTACTGTAGCTACTACTTAATTTCCCTTATTTATATATATAATTTTACTTTTAATTGTGTATTTTCATTTTGGTTACTCGCCATGTAGAAAGAAACATAATATTTTGGAAAAATAGGAAATCCAAGAAGTGGAAGTTCACCGGATGTTATTTTGAGTTAAATCCCGGTACTGTTTGATCGGGGTATAGCCGCAGCCACAGGCCACTGTTCGCTGGGGATTAGTGACCACGGCTTTTTTCAGAGATCTTTTTTCCTTGGAATGCATTTTCTTCGTCGTTTGAGTAATTGCTGGTTGCTTGAGGCAGCGCCAAGCGCAGGTGGATTTCAGATGGTCGTTGACCTTTACGACATAGTACTAGATTTTTTTTGAATGGTTACAGGCTGATAGAAACGACGAAACCTTTTGAAGAACATACTTCCGTAGAAAAATTGGGGGGAAATGCTCAGGGTCAATGTGACCCACAAATTATTTTTGATCTCTATTTAGACTTTTCCAAGTCTTTTAAGTCATAAAGTCATGGACCCCAAAGTCCTGATTTGGGTAACCGTGCGCACTATTTGAATTGACACAGCAACAATAAGACGGGGGGTTTTGTTTATAAAAAAAAAAAAAAGGGAAGAAGAAGCACGGAGGTTTTAGTGTTTTAAATACACACCGCGGATCCAGTTGCCCGCATAATAGTTTGAGTTGAAGTATCCTCAATATATGTACTACTTGCATATTGTTTTTGACCTCGTACGAATCTCGCTGGATTAGGCCTCCGTCAATTGCTGAAAGGCGAGAAGCGAACGTACCATGTTCTCCTGTGATTTTCGTGATTTTGGGAACATTACCTTATTTAATATTGCGCGCGGTAAATTTTGGCCATATGGCTTTGTTCTTGAAATCAATACTCCATTTCGACCTCTGAGAAAAAGAATCTCTTTTCTGAATTTACATATTGATTCCAAATTCTACAGTGCACAGATTCTTTTGGCTTTGACTATTGAGAATCACGTGGACTTTTATCCCTTTGTAATTTGGTTTACTTTATTAACTGTGTGATTTTTTTTTTTTAGGGGATAGTTATTGGTCGTCCGGGAATTGCAGACTTTGGATTTTTGTATTATTTCACACCTTGATAAATGCTTATAATTTTGGTAGAAATTTGGAATTAATATTAGTACTTTTAAAATTAGATGATATTTATTTATCACAACAAAATTAGATGATATTTGCACAAATAACAAAAGCAGAAGAACCTTCATTTCTGACACAGCGACACATTAATTCGATAATATCAGGCTGAATATCTGACTGAATCTTTTTGCATGGTTTCGTGCAGGTCGTCCGGGAATTGCAGCACTCGAGAAGTGGCGTTACCGTAATAACGGAGGATGGTTGCATTTTCGAGGCTGACTACGTGGTTCTATCTGTTAGTATTGGCGTTCTCCAAAGCGAGCTCATTGCCTTCAACCCGCCCTTACCTGTAAGTCTCCGCTTTATAATAACCTCCTTTCCTCCTGTCTCCCATCCCCAGGTCCCCCTGTATTATTAATTAACAATTCGACAAATTCTACAAATACTATTAGAGATGTGTGGAACTGACTTATTGGTCCTGAATATGTGGCTCTGGTAGTCATCACCCTGATCTTTTTAGGGTACTGGGGGGCATCAAAATGAAAATCTAGTCCATCAATCAAAATTTTGTTTTTGGCTGAAGACTATTCTAAACAAATTGAATCCTGCAAGCTGAATCTAGTAATTCAGTAATTAAAATCAAAAGATAAGTTTAGTAGCAAAACATTAAAATATAGCACTTGTACTATCAGACTTGTAAAATCTATTCCAAATAAAAGCAAGAGATTCCGGTTCAATTTTCATCTGATCGGAACATCTACTAGGAGCCAACACTATGGAGGAATCTGTTGGGTTTGCTTTTGTTTGTGTCCCTAAAATGGGAGTTTCCGTCATTTTCATACTGATATTTAGGGTGTGGTCCACAGTCTTTAATAGTATTAGTCATCTAGTTGGGAAAGTCAAAACATAGGGATAGCTAGGCCTCGTATTAAATGAAGCTCTCTGATTGATGACGCAAGAAAATATGATTTCGAGGAGTCCTCCTTTTCAAAAACCAGGGACAGCTTGATCCCCGGTATAGTTGATCCACAGTCTTTCGTTAATGAAGGTCTCATGTTAACCCTCTCACTGTGGGCAAATATCGGATGACCACATGGTCGGAGGATGGCGCCAACCTGCATTTATGGTCGTGATATCATCATTATATATGCAAATTATTTTTTAAGCTTGAAACATTTTAACTTTATCAGTTGCAGATGCAAATTGCAAATACTTATAATAAAACTTCATTCAATAATAATAACAATATAGTAATTTTTCTTGTAAGTTTAATAAATGATTGTAACTTCTATGCTGTAATAGTCTACTAGTACAATGTTTTGTGCAGTTTCAAAATAATATCACATAGATTATTTTTTTCAAGCAGTTGAGAAGAATCTCTTCTCCAATACTAACGCCAAATGCACATGATAATATAGAGTTATGTTCTGACTGAGCGTGGTTGGCAAAAAAGAAAAAAGAAACAGGAAGAAAACTGCGTGTGTATGTGTCTAGATATATTTATATGAAATCTTTGACGTGCCTAGTATGTTTGGTTTGCTGTACATGATACTTCTCTGTATTTTTAACACGACTATGTTTAATATAAACAATGAAACAGAGGTGGAAATTGGAATCCATAGAGAAATGTGATGTCATGGTCTACACTAAAATCTTTCTGAAGTTTCCGGACAAGTTCTGGCCAAGTGGACCCGAAAAGGAATTCTTCATTTATGCTCACGAGCGGAGAGGCTATTACACATTTTGGCAGGTTTGGTAGAAATTCTCCTTTATCGTTGCCAGCTGTGTCATTTCCTTCCATCCTGTATTTCACACTATTTTGTTTGCCTGCTGGGTATTTTGTTTCTCCAAGTAATGAAGGGAAGATTTTCAGAAATTGGTTTCTCACATAATGGGAAATCGAAATTGTTGCATAAATTCTAGTTTGCCCATTCATGGTTAAAAATAGAATTTCATAAGCAGTTCATTGTTTCATCTACCTCTAATTGGGTTTTCTATTCCTCTCGTCCAAGAATTCAAGATAATAAGGCCAAAGGCTTATCGATTCAAATATCCCTTTTGTTTTCATATGGAGATTTAATATTAGCTACCCCTCAATCTTTGCTTAAAGATGAGTCAGCCACGCCAAGACTTCTGATTTTTAATTTAAAGTTGTAAATTTGACTTTTGTAGAAGAGCACATAGTTTTAAACATTCTTAGCTGCAACTACTTCGATTTGTCTCATGTAATTAAATCATACCATTGTGGGGATAACGGCATATATTGAAAATTTTTACCTTTTTTTTTATTGTTTATTCCCCTATGATGTATGTAAAGTTGGTATTTTATTGGAGTTGTCTGTATTGGTTTCGTAACGGGAACTTCTTACTCACTTTTTCCATCTACTGTTTGTTTTAAATACTAAGTAATATGCCCATATTTCAAAGCTAGGAAATGCTTATTTAATAGGAGAAGAATCGATTTATTTGATGATGAAAAATTAACACTACTTGGCTATCGCATTATTTCAGTACAGTCCGGAATATTTGCTTTCATTTTTTTTCTTTTTATCAATATGCATTGACTTTGAATGTTAGCAACTGAGCATCAATCATCTATCATTACTGTAAATAATTGGATTTGCAATCATAATATTTTTTGGATGGGCCTTGATATTTAATTATTTATTCACTGTACTTGCTCATCAAAATCTCCTAATTATCTGACGGTTTGCTGCTTTGTCATCAGCACATGGAGAATGCTTACCCTGGTTCCCACATATTGGTTGTGACATTGACAAATGAGGAATCGAAACGTGTAGAAGCTCAATCTGATCAAGAGACCCTAAAAGAAGCTATGGCGGTTCTTATGGACATGTTTGGACCCAACATACCAGATGCCATTGATATATTTGTTCCCCGCTGGTGGAATAATAGGTTCCAGCGTGGCAGCTACAGCAACTATCCCATTATCTCTAACCCGCAAATTGTGCATAATATTCAGGTTTGATTTTCGCGTTCAATATGTTTGGATGTGTTCTTTGCTGAAATTATCAAGGCATGTTATCACTTTTAGGTTCTGTTCTGAAGTTGCATGTGAAGACAAACAGTATGACTTGGAACTTAACAGCTGGCTATTTTAAGTAATGATCACTCTCGTCACTCTGGTTTTTGTATCAAGCAACTCATCTAATCTTCCTTGTCACACAGGGGAGCAAATGCCGAAAATGAGAAGTCATGAATTTGTCCACACTATCATTAATATACATTTTTTTCCTTTGCTTTCACTTTAAATAGCCAGTAAACGGAAAAGAAAAATGAGGTAGTGGACTGTAGCTTCCATAGAAACGAGACAAAATTTAGGTAAAAATCCCCATGTTTGCTACGAGGTCTTGCACAACGAGAAAGAGTTGTGAAAGATCATCTTTAATAGAATCATTCATAAAACATTAAGTTAAAAGAAATATCTGCGTTATGATCGAATACAGTAACTCGCTTATATTTGAGATTCAAAATCAATTTGTTATTAGGACATCATTTATGGTTTTCTAGTCTCTATGTAGTTTGGTGTTCTACTGGCCTTATTACATGTCGTTTTGTGCATCTAAACACAAAAAACAAGACATTCTTTTTTCCAATTATTTATTCATCTGTTCGGGATGCTTCAGGCCCCAGTAGGTCGCATTTTCTTTACTGGAGAGCACACAAGTGAAAGATTTAATGGCTACGTCCATGGTGGATACCTCTCAGGTAAGGCATTAATTTCATATAAGTTTGCTCTGCCAAATTAAGCAGTAATGATTGAACGACCTTAAAGATCTGAATTGTGAATGCGATCATTTTTGGCCTTTGGCCCCTGAATCCTTATCAGGTATCGACACCAGCAAAGAGTTGCTAGAAGAAATGAGGAAAGAGAAGGAAAGAAAAAGTGAGAACCAAACTTTATTATTTGAACCTTTGCTAGCATTGACTGGTTCATTGACCCTGTCACAACCAGACACGGTCTCCAACATCCACAAATGGGATATTCCTACACAATTATACCTCAGTGGCAAGCTTGGAATCGCAGAGGCCATATTGTGAATGTATGGTGCACACACTAATCAGAAAACCCGCGAAGAAGATGACGACGATAAAAAATGCATTATGACTTACCAGAATCATCTAGGCCCGGCAGGTCTTGATCCCAAATCATTTCTTCAACCAAGCCTTTACTTTGGTGCCATTGGTATTGCAGATTAGCATAATTCAAAGGAGGAAATTCTTGGGCAGATCCTTTCTATTAAAGGTTATATACACTGAGTCAGTCATAGGGATCCACATAATCTATTTGATATGTTTATGTGTATCTTTATAATTGACTGATTTGGCAACTTGGCATATTATTCTTAGACTGAATTTACTTGAATTTCTTTCCACAAGAAATTATAATGGTGAAGAAGTGAGGCGATGAAGAAGCGGGGGGAAAATCTTGCTCGGATCTCTAGTGGTCACCGGTTTCTGCTAATGAAACTGACTTGGTTATATTTATTTTTTTCCAGAGGGGCAATTCATTGTTTTATGTGTAGTTATCAAAGCTTTGTTCTTTGTAGTCAGAAGATTATGCTTCTTAGATTGTAGTTTTCTTGGCTATTGATTTCCTGTTAAAGAACCCTCTGGCTGATTGGTTTTTGGAAATCATGTGCCAAGTTCTAATCTTAGGGGCCCTTTTTTTTGGGGTGGGGGGTATAGGTCTAGGGGCTGATTTGGTTTTGTGTAATGTGATGCCAATCATATCGTATTTGCTTCTAATTATGCTGGTGTCATTCTTCCATCTCTTCATTTCTATTTCAAATCTTCTTTCTGATGACTTTGCTTCAAAAACTCAAGGGAACCACAAAAACCAAGGCAAATAAGGCAAAATTGATTTCTAGAGGGACTAGGATTTAGTGTATGGATCACACAAACTACTTAGAAAGGTGCATTTGTGAAACTGAGAGCAGTCAAGCAGGTTGCTGAAAGGATTATGCAGTGAGAAGGGGAAATATGCTAAAACAGTTGCTGCTGAATATACAATAGCGCTTCTCATCAACGATGTGAAGTGAAACCATAAAAGTAATGGAATCAGGAAATAAACAGAGCACAGGAAAAATATAGAACTACAGTGCTGCTCTAACACGCCCCCTCAAACCATAGATATCACTCCAAGCCTGTCATCTAGTATGAGACAAGGCTTCTCCTAACCCTAAACAATCTCCTACTTGCTGTTATGATACAACATAAAGGCCCAAATGACTTTGTCCCTCGGTTCTGGCATGGAAAACTGGATTCAGAAGCTAAAGCTTTTGTACTCTTAAGGGCCCCAATATCTGATCTGTCTCTGTATAAAACTATAAATAGTGTATTGGACCCAAATCTTTGAAGGGAAACAGCAAAAAAATGGCTACCTTTGTCAAGATGTCTCTACATATACTAATGATAAAAACAGTAATTCGTAGCTTATCATAAGAAACCCATAGAAAGCCTGTGGGAGTTTGCCCATATGATTTGAGTTTTTCTTTGTCAATAAAGTTTTAAGGTTGTCCCATATAATAATCGTCTTCTTACCATTCAACAATGTACTATTAACAACTTTAAAGTTTTGTTTGGTAAGGAGTATTGAGATTATAATTGAAATTAAGAAAGTTTACTAAAAAAGTATTTGATGAGAGATAACTTATTGCTTAAAGTTGGATTGTGAGACTGGAGAATACAATAGAGGGAAGTGGACAGGTAGTATTGAAAATTTAATCCTATGATTAACATTTTCATACCAAAATATCCATTCCTACTCCTATTCCCACTTTCACACCCAATCCTACTTCCATTCCCAATCCATCAAAATTGAGACCCAAATACCAAACATGACCTAATTGTCTTACTTCCCAACTAAATGATGCAGGCTGCAGCAATAGTCAAGACAATTCTAACATTAGAAATTCTTACCATGGTCTGTTCCAAGTTCTAGTTGAATTCTCTTTCTTACAGGTCTCTGCTTCGTGTCCTTTTTAAATGATCCACCTCCAGTAACTCATTTCTTTCCTTTAATGCTGCTCTATCCTTCAAAAGGAAGCTTCAAGTTCAGCCTCCATGGCTCTTCATTTCAGAGCTGCATGAACTGATGAACTGAATCAGGCTCTGTTTCAGAAAAAACATCAAAATTGGTGAGATCCTATAGGGTAACATGGTTTATGAATCTAGCGACCATTAGAGTCTAAATCCGAAAGAGCTAAAGTTGAAATAGACAAAATATACAGGGATCGTTTTGGAAAACAGATAGACTATAAGGACCAAGGTGTTTGGGATGCCTTAAAAGTACTAAAAAAAAAAAATGCTTCAATACAAGTCAGGACAAAATCTCTATCACATACTTATCTCATATACTGTAAAATTATTTCTGAAAAGTTAATTTAAACACCCCAAACTGAATAAGAAAGAAACAAAGCACGAGGAAGGGCCAAATGATGGATGGAATTCTCCTATAATAATTATAAAAATTTGATTGTATTATACGAAAATAAAATAAATATTTTATAAAACCACATGAATAGGTGCACGAGTCAATATGGTGAAACTTATTTGTTGTTATAATGCAAATTTGGTGGACAATTTTCAGGTCATGCAATAATTGGCATCAAAGTTTTATTTAGGGAAAATTAATCCTTTTTTATTGTAACAATTTAACCCTTCCCTGAAACCAGAGAGGCATTGATGTTGTCTTGTTATTAGGAGATTGTGAGTTTAATTTCATATCGATGTTTTTTTAGAATGAACAGATTATGGCTTCAATTTTGTATGTTGTTAGTGGCCACCCTTTAATTGAAAAAAATTAATTTGTTAATCAGGAATTTTTAACCAATTTTTCTTTTTATTAATATTTCTCCAATATTAAATATAAGACTCATTTTATAGTACAATTTCCATTACAGAATGAGTCTCATGTTTAAGACTGGAGGACTACAAACCAGGATCATGGGTAAGATAAAGGAAACTTGCTCAATACCTTTTTTTTTTTTGGGGACAATTTCAGAACACAATCGAATGCCCCCCAAATAAAAGAAGTTATATAGAATAAAGTATGGGATATATATATGTATACAAACTTTGTTGAAATATTCAAATAAATATTAAAAATAAAAATAAGATTGCTTAAAATTTTATACAATATGTTTGACCGAAAAATGTAATAAAATATATGAAATAAGTTAAAAAGTTTGAAAACAAAAAATTATAAAAAGATTCGAGAAGTTTAGAATATTTTTTATCGAAAAAAGAGAAGTTTGGAATATTTACATGGAAAAATAGCAAAAAAAGGCCGTAAAATTTAAAAAATTACAGATAAAGACTTGTTCATAAAGATTGCTGTAACTCATAATAGTGTTGTAATGGGTTTTTATTTGTAATTTTTTAAATTTTATGGTCTTTTTTTTAATGATTTTTCCTATTTATATTTTATATTGGGAGAACATATTAATGATTTGGAAGTACATTCAGCTAATCAGCTGGAGATCCGACAACACCCAAAAGGTATGAGAAGATCCGACCCCTCCCTTGCCAACCGACACAGGGTCCGAATTCGTTCCAATTTGGCGCCAATTCTCCATTCGTCTGAGCGTATCCCTTGCTTTCTCCAGTTCAGAGTAAACCCTAGTCATGGCTTCGGTTCACTGGTGCATGAATGCATGAAGGTTTCTGAGAAAACCAAAAATTGAAGCTTTCTATATTGAAGCTTCATAATCGAAAAGAGTGTAGAAGCGACCAGTTCCCTTTTTGCAATGGCTGAACCTCGTCGTAAGCGCCCCAAAATTGCCAGGTTTGTCAACATTAAACCTGACGGCTCTTCTTCATTCGCTGGCTCACAATTCGCCTTTTAACCTGCTTACTCGTCGACCCTTTTCGGCGTTAGGGCTGTGCCACTGATATTGTTCTTCAGTTTTCTGGCTGGTTGGCGAAGATGTGCAGGAAAAAGAGAACTAAAACCATTAAAGTTATAAACTTGATTTTTTTGGGGGGTGGGTGGGTGCGGTGGTGGTTGTCGGGCAACCCCGGTTCTTCCTCTTTAAACTTCTGTCCTAGGTTTCTTCAATAAATGGTTTACCCATCCCTTGATCTGAATTCATCAGCGTCACCATCATTTAGTATTTGTTTTTTGAACAGGGCCATGCTCTATCTTTCACGGCGTCCCTGCACACTTTTACTTATGAAATCTGATCAATTAAACTGACATTTTTTTGTTTGATAATCACAATCATTGAATACCATGTTTCTAAATGGATATCGTTAAAGGTCTGTAATATGATTTCTAAGTGGACAATTTTATTCTTTCTTTCAGGGGAGAAGATGATTTTATGCCTGGAAGCATTATCGAGATCGAGCTTTTTAAGTTTATGACCTTTGACTACCTAAAATGTAAACCTGGTCCTCGTCTGAATCTTGTTATTGGACCCAATGGTTCTGGGAAGAGTTCTCTTGTTTGTGCCATTGCACTTGGTCTGGGGGGTGAGCCTCAGGTTGGTTCATACAGGCTAGCACGTAAATTCGAATCTCAATATTTTTTTTTCTCCAAAGAACATTAGGATTGAGACTTTGTTTTTTGCAGCTGCTAGGACGAGCAACAAGTATTGGATCATATGTGAAGCGGGGAGAAGAATCAGGTTGTATTAAGATTACATTGAGAGGGGATAGTAAAGATAAGCATATCACTGTTATTCGGAAAATAACTACTAACAACAAGTCTGAATGGTTGTTCAATGGTAGGTTTTTTTTTCTATTTTATTTTGTACGTTACTAATTTCATTGAATGCTATGATTCTGTTGACATGAGTAGTTGATCCTCTTGATTGAGGTTAACTTGGATGAAAGGTCAAAATTGGTTGGTTATGGATTTTGAGTTTGAAACTTTTCCTAGGTACAGACTTGAGAAAGCGACCGCTTTGAATATTACTTTTGAAAACCAAGAAAAGGTTTATGCAATTAGTAACTACTAACTAACAATGTATTTAAGTGGTGTCAATATGTACTTTTTATTTATTTTTATACTTTTTTTTTCTTTAGTAAATCCTGCT